GCTTTTTCTTACCCAGACAGTCTTGGCTAGATAGTGTTAAAATTGTGTCATAATTCGATTTTAAAATATAGGGAACCGAGGAACGCGTATGTGATTAAAAGTCCCGAAAGTTTGTTTACGTTGCTCTTTGATTGACAAGTCACTGTTATATGCAAATGATTGCTGGCTTCAGTTACTTCTGTGACTTCCCCGACCTGGACCCTGTTTATTTACCTCAAGCGCTATCAACTAGCCTCGCAAACTATAAAAAAAAGACAAGACGTGGACGCTTCCAGCATACAAGCGTAATAAAAATACAGTTGTACACTTGTTCACTCTTATCTCGCAACATGTCGACATCTTCTAGCCTGGCAGCTTCCAATGGTATACTGTTAAATATTTTTTTTCATTTATTTTCACGATTTTTTTCCAAAGACATTTTAAAACTGTGTACATTTGTCGTTTCGCTGTAACGATCACCGTACTGATAGCATTGCGATGTAATGAATACACACCATTGCTGTGCTGTCATCCATAACTAACTTTTCAGTGGCAAATTACGCAGACGTAAAATGCTCGGTTAATTAAAAATAAAAAATACCCTGGAAATTACAGAAACATCGGCAACGATATGCTGTTTTTAAACACCGCGGAAAAAATCAAGCACTCTGCGACGCCAGCTTGGTTACCTTAATCGGAAACTCTTGTCAGCTAGCATGCATTTGTAGTGAAAGTACGTACGCAAGTACGCAAAGTACGTTGTACGGCCTTGCTCGATCGGTACTAAGACACTCTATGAATGAGGTATTTCCAGACGTCAGGGTTCGTTTAATTGTTATTGACCCATCTCGTTCCTAGTCAATAAAACCTGTCTCGATTTACAAAAGTTTACCTTTCATTTCGATTTTTCTCACCGGCGTTTGAGCAATTGAGTAGTAAAAACTGGAATAGTCGTTGTGTAGCAAAATATTACGGTTCATTTCAATCTGGTCGTCTAACTTCGCACGGTCCATTTTACCGAAGATCGCAAAAAACTGCGTCATACAAAGTATTTTTTTAAAGGTTTGAGGAAAGGTAAATTTAGACTCAATTCGCTCAATTGCGATCGCTATATTTATATAACTGTATGAATATTTCATCAGCTTTACGTAATCCATTGTGCCCCTCCCTCAGTGGAAATGATATCACGACGCCATGCCAGTTTTTACTCAAGGTCTTCACTCCGTTTTTTCTCGAACTGTAAATATTTTTATTTTATTTTTTTTAATAGCCATTTTGTCGACGGTTAACCTCACTTTCATAAAACTGGCATTATCTCCGTTCGTCTTTTGTGGTTGGTCGAATAAATTGAAAATTAATTAGCTCCCACAATTTTTGTCAGTTTTTCTTCAAATGTTGACGTCGTCTCTATTTTGACGAATATGAAACATACCACATATACATCTGGACGCCTATTTGTTTATAAAGAACCGATAAACGTTGTGTCAAAGTTTCACTTGAAATAAACAAGAATTGTGAGAGTTATTTACACTTGAACTTCCCCGGTAAACTGAAAAACACAAGAGGAGATAATGGCTAATTTTCATAACCATTCACTCAGTAAGAAGTTTGCTAATCCTCATAATTAAAATGGCTGTAACACTTCCAAATTTAAACCTATTATCGTTTTATAAAAAGTTAAATATAGTGCAGTCTCTATGTTTCTTTTTGATTATTTATTACAACCCTGCTACATCTTGCTAAGCATTCAAAATTGAGAATCTTTATACCTGTTTTATATATTTTAAAATCGTCTTTTGTGTATGTTCCACTATTCACAATGCTGTGAAATTTCAACAGTCTATATCCAAGACTGTTTGGATAATAAAAAGCAACAAGTCATTGTCAATGACACGTCCCCG